GAATCAATTTTTTTTTAAATTTAATTTCAATTTTGAACAATTTCATAATAATGATACATAAAGTTGGAGACATTGTGTGTTTAATTACAAACGATATTTCTTGTCATATTTGCACTGTTGTAATTATTTTGTTAATGTAGGTACCTAATATGTTTAATAATTATCATATTTTCTAATTTTGCGTTGTTAACATTGTAAATATCTTTTAGATAAAAAAGACATTAGACATAAATTATAGTTCTAACGTCAAAAAAAACGAAAAAATCGTTTGCTTTTCCATAACTCTTTTACATTGTCAATGCGATATTTTGTGGAGTTTAATTTTAAATTGTTTAATTGAATTTATTTGATTAAATTAAAACCAGACAATAGGAGGAACTATTTTATTTATATACTTCGAATCACATTATGGTCCAAATTGAATATCGTTAATATCAACTATACCAATAACAATACCCACTCAATATCTGTGCCAAATAATGTATGGGTTATTATTTTATCTGTCCCCCTCATAATAGAGGTAAAATGTTTAAAATCGAATTATCAAAACATCCATCCATTAAACATTACACGCATTAAATGCCATTAACTATTAAGCATTATTACATTTTGAATTAGGATTAATATCGATAGTTTTATTTAATCCTGTTGTCAAGAACAATATATATTTTATGTGAATTATAATTTAATAATAATTAAAACGATATACTTGCGTATTCATATAGTAAAGCCAACTGTTTTAATATATATTAAAATTGTTTTTTTCTTTGAATTTAACACTCATTGCATACCTATACTGTAAACAGTGTAAACAAATAAGTTCTTTAAAATATAAAATAGTTTTTGTTTTACAACAATTGAAAATGTATCACTTTATTATTTATGTGAGTTTTAATTGTTGTGTTAAAATATAAACTTTAAAGAACTCCAAACACAACGCAATAATGATAAAATGTCTGTACATATTTTATATAAACTATCAAATATATTATTAGTTTTAGGCATTGGTACAAATGAATACAATTATAATTAATACAAGCATCGTTTGAAGAATTATTACAACACCGTCATAATATCATAAGACATTTCAAAAACATTCATTCACTGTACTTTGTAAATATTAAAAGAAGAACATTGAATCGAGTTTTGTGCAATTGGATACATAATAAAGTTATTTCGAACCCTAAATTCTTGAGACTTTGGGCCGCATTCGTTTTCTTGAATATTATATCCTTAAGACCTTAACGCATTGCTATTTGAAGTAACATAATGCACAGTAGTAAAACATACATTATTCAATGTTATTGAAAAATTATGTAGGTAAAGGTACCTCGAGCATAATGTGAAATTCGTATAATATAATCTTTAAGCATTTTTATTTTTATCAAATAAGCCCAGTGAAGTTCAGTCATAATATTATACGACGCCTGTAGTCTTATGTTTATAGAATACGCGTGTATACTGTATATATTATACTTTTCTTTTACTATAAATTTGTCGGTACTTAAGCTTTACTCACAACAAATATAATAATATTTGATGCACACACGTTCCCATTGAAAACTCTGAAATTCACACACACTTTATCAAGCAAGAATCACGCGATTGCCGATATTTAAAAAACCAACATTTTGGGACCGACATTATAATTACATTTTGTAATGTATATCCCAGAAATTCGTAGCCATGTAATAAACGTGAAAGGATGTATAATCTATACTAAAACCCAATTGGTAATTTATGTGATATAATAATAAAATAATATCGGAATAAATGCAAATTTATACTGATTAGCTTTTAAAAAAAATAAAATATTTACTGCTATTCCATTCTCCGCGTTTTACTAATAACGTATATCAAAAATATTAAACGTGTAATAACGTACATAATATTTTGTAGCCTTGTTGCGCTATGATATTATATAAAAATGCAATCCAAAATTTAAAATTATGAAATCGCGTAATAATGTAATATTATTTTTGAAAATATGCTCGCGTCCATTATTAGAAATAATAATAGTGTTGCAACAAGATTTAACAATAAAAACTCCCTTTTACTATTGTTCACGTGTAACGCCCTCGGACGATGATTACGATGATTGAAAAGCATGCATAATGTAATATATTATAAAATATTACGGTATTTACGTAAGTAAGTATTATCGGCGAGTGAATGTCAAAAATCCGCAGCTGCAGCCGTGTAAAATGTACGTCGGACAGAAGATCGACGGGAAAAGACCGAAAGTTGAAATCGTTCCATAGCGAATGCTCTCTCTAATAATATTACATAATAATATATTGTAACAATAATAATTCTACGAAGAAGGAAGACCCACCCCTATGTGCCAGCTGCGGTACTCTTCTCTCAATCAAACACATCTTAACTGAATGCCTTTCATACGAAACGGATAGACGAGAAGCAGGCATCTCAAACATTCTGTCAGAAGCCCTCCACCCGGACAACATAATAAGACACATTAAAACCTTTATTTTAAATCCAACCTTATCAATAATATTTAATAATATGTAACATTATCATGTAAACAATTTAGAGTTAAACTCTTTGTTGCCAATGGCCATAGTTTCCGAGGCTTAATTCAAATAAAAAAAAAAATAATAATAATAATTCTGGAAATGAATTGTCCGCAGCAGAGTGTGAGTTTCGTCGTCATACATAGGCAAGGCATGTCATATGTTATAAAAGTATGCACGTATAACATTATTGTATTATACCGTTAAAAACAGACAGTTGGACTTTACCCAAATGATTATTGTACTGTTGTAACAAACGCGATAACTTACGGTAGTGTGTCCACATAACGCGATGTGCTGTCGGTTGGCCACCCTGTATACGGTGAGAGTGTATACCTATTATAGGTTCATGTACCTATTTATAGAGACGATGTACACTGCACGTACGCCCGTTATACCCACTTTGGACCGAACTTCATGGCTCGATAAAAAGGTAAATTTATGTCACGATAACGTCCCGGTATATTATGTCCGTTATTGTTGTTGTTGTTGTTATTATTATTACTATTATTACTATTATTACTATTATTACTATTATTATTATCATTATTATTATTATATTCGCCGGTCCGCTGCAGGAGAGGAAGAGGATATATTTTTATAGCCGCGATGTGAACACGCGGGGGCGAATTGATTAGATATATCCCGGGACGATACCGATTGTGGAGGGGTGGGGAGGGGGGGTGCACGATATTATTGCCCATACAGATATAATAATGTTGCGTATAAATAAAATATAATAAATTTAATAATATGGACTCGGGACGTTATACGAGTCCGGAGATGCGTGTCTGTTCGTATATAGATCCCAAGCGGGTTGTTCGGGGGCTCGTGTTTCCGACCCGTTCGAGTACTTTTCGCCGCCACTCGGGTTATAAACGCCCTTCTTATATACATACACCCACACACCTCTCCACTTCTCCTCCGTATCGCCGCCGCCGCCGCAGCTCCCATCGCCGACCACCACAGAACTGCTACAGCAGTGGGCCCAAAACACTCGTCTAGCTGCAGCGATCGTCGTCGTCGTCGTTGTCGTTGCCTCCATTTTTCCGGAAATGCGCCGAAGTAATAACAATGCATACGCGAAATATCGCAATATAATAATATTAAAATACAAACCCCCGCATCAACGCCATAATATTGTCACGATATATTTTACAAATAAACTTTTTTCGCCGGATGAATGAAAAAAAAATAATAAACCTAATCTCATCGTTTCATACGAACCTATACCGTACGTCGTCGTATACAATATTATTGCGTATTATAAATTATCATAATATAAAAAGGCATTGCGTTCACGTGACGACGTAGTCGTTATAAATCTTCTCGTTACTCGCGTATGTATGACCCGCGCCATGTTGGTAACCATTGACCGTTCAAGAAATGCCGTATACACACATACGTATAAGAGTATATAGATATTGTATGATGTGTGTGTGTGTGTGTGTGTATGTACATATTATATGTATATATATATATTATATATGCGATGTATACATATTATACGAATACACGGGGAAACAAAGACCGACCTTTTCGTCTGTCCGGAAAGTAACTTTAAATGGATGTTATGGAATTAATACAAATGATAATAATAACGGCGCATACCCGCCGCCCCTGCCGTCGTATATATATATATACCGTTGTGTATATACGTGCATATACGGCCATTGCATCACGTCAACCCCGATCATCGGTTCCCACTGCTATTTATATTGTTTTTATTGCTCTCCGAGCCGTTTCCATCCACTTTTATCACTGTTTTACTGTATATACATTTCCTATATTATATACGAACCTTATAATATTATATATACTATTATTATTTCCTCTCCCTGTGTGCGTATATATAGTCGGTCGTACGCCCGGAAGCCAATATCGACTACCGGCCGCATGAGTACATCCGGTTTATTATTGTTATATCGCCACCGTCGACTTACGAAAACGCGCGTGTACTCTCCTCACTTCGGAGTAGGTATATACTGCAACCACGTCCGCAGATCACCCCCAAGATGTGGCCGCACGTTCAATTAAACCACCGAGATGACCACTTGTTGACAATTTACATCGACACATAAACTATTGATTGTTAATATTTAAAAATAATAAATAGGAACTTTGTGTATTATATGTATCATTTAGAGTAGCTGAAAATAATTTCATACAAAATGTTTGTTTGCAAAAAAATACACAATATTCTATTCTATAACACTGCGTCAGCCGGAATATTTTTTCATTCGATGGGCGTCATTTATTGTGTGCCATTGACCGTACACGGTACACTCAAGTATTTTAGACACTGAGACTTATACAGAGTCAACATTGTTGTCTTATAGTAAACTATAAAATAATAAGACATGCTACACTTTCCTTTTATTAATATTGCAAATCATTTTGTTAGATAAGTAACTCGAAAGTGTTTAACAGTAATGATATTAAACAGAGTGTATAAGTGCAGTTCAGCCTTTGAACTAATAACACGTTATTCAGTGCCGTCTTGCTTATCAGTGCGTTTTGTTTGTGTTTTACTGTATTAGATACAACCGCTGTAAATTTACTTATAGATATTTTATTTTTTCTCTAAAATGGATTCTAACGAAAAACTCGATTCAATATTAAATTCAATAAATGAAATGAAAATTACTCAAAATAAGTTAATTAACACTGTAAACTTTATCCGTGATGAAAAAAAAAAACAAGACAAGCAGTTCGGGGATATTGAGTGTAAGTTGGATAGTTTATCTAAGAATTTTGAAGACTTTTTCAACGAAAATAAATTATTGAAAAATACTATTAGTAATATTGTGTCTAGATTATCTATTCTTGAGTCTAATCCCTCCCATATTACTTCTGAAGAAATGTATTCTGAAATTATTGATCGACAAGCTAGATGTAGAAATGTAATCTGTTTTAATGTACCTGAAAATCTTTCGCAATCTGCTACCAATGATACTCAGTCTATTCTTGAAATATTTCAACAAATGGGTACTCAGGAAATAATTCCGGCAAATATACTTCGACTAGGAAAGGTCTCAAATCAATGTCGTCCTATAAGAATTACATTACAAAACCAGCATGATGTTTATACTGTGTTAAAAAACAAAAATAAATTACGTCACTGTGACAAATTTAAACTTATAAATTTTTCCACTGATCGCACACTACTTCAGCGTAACTACTTCAAATCAATATTGGATGAATTGAATAAGAGGAAATCCGCTGGCGAATCTGATCTATTCATTAAATACGTTAAAAATATTCCTACTGTGTCAAAAAACGTCAGGAATCACGTACATATGCCAATAAGTTAACGTTCTATTACCAAAATATTCGCGGTATAAACACCAAACTGGCTGTCTTTACTCGTAATGTTAAACTGTATGATTATGATGTTATTATCTTAACAGAAACTTGGCTACACAATGAAATTAATGATAACGAACTCGGTCTTTTACCTTACTATTCAATTTATCGCTGTGATAGAGGAAGTCTCATCGACAATAATATAAATGTTTCAGTCAGAGGAGGTGGTGTTCTAATTGCGATCAAAAGTCACTTTCAGTCATACCGCGTCCTACTTCAAGATAATAAAATTGAACAATTATACATAAAATTATCAATAGGCTCATTAATATTACTAATTGGCACTCTATATATACCACCTCAGTCAGATATTAATGTTTATAATTTACATACAGATACTGTTAATAATTTATTAAGTCAATATTGTAATGCTAAAATTATTCTATTAGGAGATTATAATCTTCCTGGTCTACAATGGCATATTGTTAATAACCATATTATCCCTCACTCACTTAAGTATACAAATTTAGAAACAAATGTATTAGCAAATTTTTCATATCTCAATCTTCAACAATTCAATATAATTAAAAATCGTAAGAATTCTATACTTGATTTAATTCTGTCAAATTCAACCGATGTTTTAGTTTCACGTGAGACTGATACGTTATTACCAATCGATTATATGTATCACCCGGCTCTACTTATTACCTTCCCTATTAATGAAAACTTTATTCCCTTACAATATAATGAATTTAAATATGATTTTTCTGTATGTAATTTTAATGTTATTAAGTCACAAATTGCATCCATTGATTGGCCAATAGTTTTCAAAAACCAATGTATAAACAATGCTGTCTCTCGTTTCTATAATATTATTTTTGAAATTATTGATAAAAATTGTACAAAAAGAAAGGTATATATAAGTAAATACCCAGTTTGGTTTAGCTCTGTATTGAGGGACTTAATTTTTAAAAAGAAAATTGCTCACAAATTATATAAACAATCTCCTTTTCAAATTAATTATAATATTTTTTCTAATCTTCGTGCCCAATGTAAATTTCAGTCCAAGGTGGATTATAGTAAATATTTAACAGATACACAAAACTCTTTATTGTCAAATCCTAAACAGTTTTGGAAATTTTTAAGTAATAAACGCTCAAACAATTCACTACCTACTTCTATGACTTATGAAAATCAGTCTATATGTGGTGGTGAGGAAATAGTTAGTAGTTTTGCACATTATTTTTCTAATGTCTATGTCACTTCAGACACATTCACAACAGATTCTTTTACATTTCCCTCGGCTTTAACCTCAGATTTAAACTTATTTTCTGTAGTCTTAAATATAACTGATGTTTTAAATGAACTTGATACAATTACTTATAAATCTAATCCGGGCCCTGATATGATTCCCAGTATTTTCTTTTCAAACTGCAAATTCGTATTAACTATTCCATTATTGTATTTATATAACCTATCTCTATCTACTGGTACTTTTCCAACCGTTTGGAAAACAAGTTTTGTTACACCAATATCAAAGGGTGGTGATATATCAAGTGTAACAAATTATCGTCCAATCAGCCTACTTTCAATAATTCCAAAAATCTTTGAATCAATTATATCAAAAAAAATAACTCCTTTGCTATCTCAATTAGTTTGTGAAGACCAACATGGTTTTTTAAGTGGTAGATCAACAACTACAAATCATTTAATCTTCCATAAATTAATATTAGACGCCTTTGCTTCTAGATCCCAAGTCGACGTTATTTATACAGATTTTTCTAAAGCGTTTGACAAGGTAAACCATTCAATACTCATATCTAAACTTCATAACATAGGTATTCAGGACCCATTTTTGTCTTGGATTTCATCATATATATCAAATAGGAAACAAATTATAAAGTATAAAAATTACAAATCTAATCCTTTCGTTGTAACATCCGGTGTACCTCAGGGCTCTCACTTAGCTCCTTTATTATTCCTATTATTTATTAATGATTTAAATTTTTTACATTCAAGAAAACTTCTTTTTGCCGATGACTTGAAAGTATTTCGACAAATAAATTCTCTCAACGATACAATTTTATTACAAAATGATTTGAATATATTGTTGGATTGGTGTTCTATTAATAAACTACCGTTGAATATTGATAAATGTAAAATTATATCTTTTACTAGATCTCGGGATCCATTTATAGTATCTTATAATATAAGTCTTTCTCCTTTGTCTCGTGTTCATGATATTAGTGATTTAGGTGTAATTTTTGATTCTGCTCTCACATTTAATAAACACTTATTACATACGGTTAGGAAAGCCTCTATGATTTTAGGCTTCATTACTAGAAATTGTAAGGATTTCACTAATCCTGCTGTTTTTAAAACATTATACACTAGTTTAGTCCGTTCAAAATTAGAATATAATACTGTTGTTTGGTCGCCTTACTTAAATTATCAAAGTCAATGTTTAGATAATATTCAAAACCGTTTCCTACGATTTATGGCCTTCAAATGTAATTTAAATCGTATGCCTCATTCTCCTTATGAACCACTATTACGTTATTTTGATATTGGTAGTTTATCTGAACGAAGAAAAATATTTGATATGAAATTCTTATTTAAGCTCGTCATAGGTTACATCAATTGCCCTGAAATTTTAGGTTTTCTTAATTTTTATGTCCCTCAGTGCAGAACTAGATCAACCACTATGTTTTATATTTATACACATAAAACAAATTATATGTCTGCTTCTCCTATGAATAGGATAATGTCAATAGCAAATGATTTAAACATTGAATTATTTAGTTTTAATTCCATTGAATTATTTAACAATTATGTAAACAAAATTTGTTGTATTTAAATATGTAGTACTGCTTATTATTATTTATTATTGTATTATTACCTACTGTATTATTATATTATATTCGTGTATTATTATTGTATTCTAATATTCAGTTATGAACTATATTATTTTAAATTATTGTAATTGGATCGTTTGATCCGTTGAAATAAATAAATAAATAAATAAATAAATAATATTATAGCGTATTATATGAACCACAGAATAAGCTGATTAACTTTGAAAATTTAAAAAGTTTAGCTTAAAATTAACATAATAAATAGTTAAGGCTAAAATTAATAAAGTACATAGTTTTTAATAACTATAGTCCATAATAAGTAATAACAGTTATGAAATATTTTTAAATACTAGTCAGGCTTAGGATGAAGTTTTATCGCCAGAATATAATGTAGATGCTCGTATATTAGGTACAATGTACTTTGTACTCGTGCAAGTTTTATTTTTCTAGAAACATACAATTACCTATGTTAGTTATTAAAGACGAGTTATCTATAAGTATATTAAGTAAATATAGGATATAACTATCACAATTGTAACTTAATAATGATGTTGCTTCAATTATTTGTTACAATGAAAATAATTTCTCTGTGAATATAACATTCAGGAAGTATTCTGTATTCGAAGATAAGTTTTTTTATTTTTACTCTCAATAAATCACCTAGGTTTATTTAACATGATCAGTATCTACTTAAAATTGCCAGGTATAAATTAAACATGGTATCTACCAATAAACTTACTTATTCATCAGCTACTATTTTTAAGATACAAACGTCAACGTATAACTGATGATTCTTGTCCATCCTTATCTATATCTCCAACTACGATTAAAGAGATTGTCCACTTGGAATGTCTGGACAAAAGAAGACGACTCATTAATATTTGCTTCATGTCCAAACTGGTAAAGGAAACTCTTGTTCTGAACTTCTCGCTCTAGTAAAGTTTCCTGTCCCTCAAAATTTGTCTCGGTCCTGTCCTACCTTCTCTAAAAAAATGTCACCGAACATCATATGGTTTTAATAACCCAATCGATCGGGGGATGGTATTTTGCGCCAATTTAATTACCTGTAATTTGCGCCATCAAAAGGTACATTTAAGGACGTATGTAATTTGCACCAAAATATAAAAATATAACATGTATTTTGCGCCACATATACAAATTAATTTTGGTAATTTGCGCCACGATAGAAAACGAAATGGAAAATGTAAGTTGCGTCACACTTTCAGCTTCAATATTGTTGGAATTTACCATCTCAGGTCAGACACACGAAGTGTGAAAAAAGAAAGTAAAAAGAAAAAATTAATAAAAAGGTAAAAAATCTAGTAAACTAAATTGAAAAAATTAATTTTATCACACCTTTTAACTTTCTTTTTTTCACACCTTTTTACCTTCTCTTTCACACCTTTTTACTAATTTTTACTAATTTTATCACACCTTTTTACGTTCTCTTTTCACACCTTTTTACCAATTTTTACTAATTTCTTCACACATTTTAACTTTCTTTTATCACACCTTTTTACAATTTTTTCACACCTTTTTACCAAATTTTCACACTTTTTTACTTTCTTCTTTCACACCTTTTTACTTATTTTATCACACCTTTTTACTTTCTTTTTTCACACTTTTTACCAATTTTTTCACACCTTTTTACTAATTTTGACTTAATTGTTCAGACTTTTTTGCAATTTTTTTCACAAATTTTTCTAATATTTTCACACCTTTTTTACTTTCTTTTTTCACACCTTTTTACTTTCTTTTTTTCTATTTTTCTAAAAGGTGTGAAAAAATTAGTAAAGAGGTGTGAAAAAGAAAGTAAAAAGGTGTGATAAAATTGGTAAAAATTAGTAAAAAGGTGTGAAAAAGAAGGTAAAAAGGTGTGATCTACAAGTAAAAATTAGTAAAAAGGTGTGAAGAAATTAGTAAAAATTAAAATATAGGGGTGAAAAAAGAAAGTAAAATTGTGTTATGAAATTAGTAAAAATTAGTTAAAAAGTTTGAAAAAAGAAAGTAAAAAGGTGTGATAAAATAAGTAAAAAAGTGTGAAAGAAGAAAGTAAAAAGGTGTGAAAATTTGGTAAAAAGGTGTGAAAAAATTAGTAAAAAGGTGTGAAAGAAGGAAGTACAATGGTGTGAAAATTAGTAAAAATGTGTGAAAAAATTAGTAAAAAGGTGTAAAAGATAAAAGTAAAAAGGTGTGAAAAAATTTGTAAAAATTAGTAAAAAGGTGTGAAAAAATTAGTAAAAAGGTGTAAAAGAAGAAAGTAAAAAGGTGTGAAAAAATTTGTAAAAATTAGTAAAAAGGTGTGAAAAAATTAGTAAAAAGGTGTAAAAAAATTAGTAAAACGGTGTGAAAAAAGAAAGTTAAAAGATGTGAAGAAGGAAAGTAAAAAGGTGTGAAGAAAGAAAGTAAAATTGTTTGAAAAAATTTGGAAAAATTAGTAAAAAGGTGTGAAAAAATTAGTAAAACGGTGTGAAAAAAGAAAGTAAAAAGGTGTGAAGAAAGAAAGTAAAAAGGTGTGAAAAATTTGTAAAAATTAGTAAAAATTAGTAAAATTATTAAATTAAATTATTAAATAAATAATAATAATAATAATAATAAATAATAATAATAATAAATAATAATTAAATTAAATTATTAAATTATTAAAAATTAGTAAAAAGGTGTGAAAGAAGAAATTAAAAATTAGTAAAAATTTGTGAAAAAATTTGTAAAAATTAGTAAAAAGGTGTGATAAAATTAGTAAATAGGTGTGAAAAATTAGTAAAAAGGTGTGAAAAAAAGAAAGTAAAAATGTGTGAAAAAAGAAAGTAAAAAGGTGTGAAAAAATTTATATTTTTTCATTTAATTTACTACATTTTTTACATTTTAAATAATTTTTTCACACCTTTTTACTTTCTTTTTGCACACTTTATGTGTCTGACCTGAGATGGAGTTTTTTTAAGTGACTCCATATATTCTTACTTATTTAGATTCACTGTTTATGATGGTATAGTTATGTATTCAAAGTAAATCATCTGATAAAATTTTTTTTTATTATCTGGATTTGGCAAATATGAGAAGTTTTTATATCAAGTATCAACAGATAAAAACTAACTTAAGTATTAATCAAACACAAATTTAGAAGTGTAGCATAGATTATATTCGTAGAAACAAGTGATCAAAAAGAGAAGAGTTGCAAAATTATCATGAAAAAAAATTTAAAATTTAAAATTTAAAAACAAATCTACTGCGGTTGGATTGCTTACTTGATTAGCTATAGGACATTGAGTTCAACCCGACGAACTCGGATTGCTTAACCAGGTAGCTAACTTGAATGCTGAACGATTTTCACTTGAGGTGACGGACTTGCTAGACATTCCAACACTGATTTCGAATTTACATTTTTTTACATACGAAAAAGCAACAGACATGCGACAGGAACCGTATTATTCAATTGCCGATTTTCATGGGTGGAGTGAGATTTCTAGACACTGAAACTGGAATTTGAAACATTCCCGCGCTCGAAACGTGACCTCCAAGACTTATCAAAAATTCTTATCACCTCCTAAATTTTTGTTTTTTGACCACCCATGACGTCAACAGGAGTGACTTCTATAAGTTGTTTCAACGACATTGTCGTCTGCATCGCCGAGTCTCACAAGCCCCCCTGTTTCACGACACCGAGTTTCACTGGCAGCTAGTCTATTATAAAAGCTTAAGTAGTTTTACTAACCAGTATCGTTTTTCTGTGTTTTTCGATTTTTAACTTGTACTGGTGTTCTAGTGACGTTAATACGCAAACCGTCATCGTCATTTGTATTGCAATAAAGCAAAGCATATTTGATGGTCATGCCGTCATAGTGTTAAATATAGGCGAATAGCAAAATTAAAAAATAAGCAAATGCAAAACCATAACTAAATGCTATAATATGTCATTGAGCAATATAATTTGAATATAGATTGTATAAAGCTATAGCTTACATAATATGTGCATTTAAAAACAATTCAAACTATTATATACATACGTAATAACTGAGATGAGGTATCTAATACATCAAATCCAGATAAGTCGAGATTGGTTTATGAGGTACAAGGCAGGTTCACTTCTTCAGTCATTTTCGGAGCTAGTCCCAGGACTTAAACAATCACTTGTGAAGTGTGCACCACAAATTCTTTTCTTGTTGTTCACAGTTTGAGGATCTTCATGCTCTAACCCGGCAATTTTCATCCATTCCCTCAAAACAATAAGATAAAGTCGAATATTCGGAAACCGATGAGATACAACATCTAATATAACAAAAGGTAATTGTATAATATGGAGTTCGAATAATCACTAATCAAGCCAATAATTCAAAATTTATAATTATTAAGTTATGCAACAAAGTTGTTTTAAATACCTAAATTAAATTATAGTTGGTACTTGAGTAGACTTGAGTAATATAAAATAACATAACAATACTAACCTTTAGCTTAACATCCCTTTTATACAACATAGGTATAATGCCATTGTGTAAGAATGAATTAAACTAAACTATTCAAGTAAAAATAAAATAAGTACACGAGAGTACGAGACACGGACAAATGTTAATTTTTTCACACCTTTTTACTTTCTTTTTTATCACAATTGCAGCGTTAATAGAGAAATATTGACTTATGTCTGGTGGTTCTGAAAATATTACTTCTTTTTTTCTGTATAAGTTGCATTGAAAATGAAATACAGAAAAAAAGCCCTTTTTTATTTCAGATTTAAAGACAAGATTTTGAATACTACAATTGAATGGTTCGTCTTTCATTGATTGTAAACTATTTAAAAAGTAGTCAACACCACTAAGAAAATTTCTAAATTAATAAAGACAAATTGAATTAAATCGCTATCATGTAAATTCATTTTGTACTACAATAAACAAATATACTTAGTCCCAAGCATTGTAAATATCAACCATACCATATAATATTTATTCAAAAATCCTTTGGACATAGACTATATAATTCGGGGCTTGAAACCGATTTTGAATACCAGTTAAAACCGTTTAAAACGAAATCGACAAAAATTAGTCATTAGTCATTACTGGAAATCTAAACCGAAATTGAAATCGGAAAAAATAATT